CCTGATCCTTCTGGCCCAGAGACCTGTGACTTTACCCAGCCTGAACTGTCAGCTCTGCTCACTTGACACACAGCATGTCACCTGACAGAGGAAGAGATCTTTGTCAACATCCACCTCCCATCCTCTCCACTAGACTGTAAGTGTCTGGAGGGCAGTGCCAGGTCTTTCTCATCTTCTGTGTCCCTAACTCAGCAACTAACGCAGGGTAGTGTTCCGTGACTTTATGAAGTGGGTAAATAAAGGAATGGATGAATGAATGGATGGATGGATGAATAGAAGGATGAAGTCTAAGATTCTAAGATTTTAGGGTGCTGAGATTATTCAGAGTCTTAGAAGTCTAGAGTTGGTGTTCAGGCCTCTTGGCATGTGACCTAGCTTCCCTGCAACTACAAGTCTCCCCAGTGTGACAGCAGCCACACCCGGCACCTTCCCGCCTCTGAGCCTCTGCTGCTATGTGCCATGGTACAAGGAACAGGTCGTATTTGCTGGGGACAGAGGAGAAAACTGGTTAAGAGCCCTGCTGCTGTCCAGTGTGCCTTTCTCTGGAGGATGGTCTGGAGGACCTGTGGGACCAGTTCTCACGTGGAGGTGGATAACCGCACACTCACCCGAGCCCCCAAGAGAATGTCCAGGAAGTCCAGGTGCCTCCGTTTCTGGATCTTCTCCTGCTCTTTCTTGTCCTGCAGAGCTCCTTTACGTTCCCTGATGACCTGGTCTGGACCAGGAGGAGCACATGGTGTTACTGCTAGGGACTCATCCTCTGCCCACAGGAAAACTGAAGTCCTGCTATGGGAAGGATCCCAGAGGAGCTGAGAGGAGCTCAACTAGAACCTAAGCTCCCTATGGGTGGGTTTGCTGGATAGGCCCACCTGTGTGCTCATGGGCCACCTGGCAGGCTCGCAGGAAGCGGCGGCCATGAGGGGTGAGCCAGTAGATGAAGTCGTTATGGTACAGGATGGACTGGAGGCGCTGCTGCATCAGCAGAGTGAGATCCTGGACTGCCAGGTAGTAGCTACTGTCCCTGCACAGCAGAGGG